AATAAGTACCCTGTATCAAAATTGATGCAAAACAAGTGACATTTGACCTTTTTAGAGAGATTTAGAAAAGAAAACCCACTTCTGGGGTCATTTGGGTGGATTTTCCATATCTCTGGCCCCCCTCCGCCGATTTTGATGATTGACACCTCTTTTTAACCGTTAGAGCCAACATAATCGAGTGGAAGTTCCTAAAATCCACCTACACGTTACCAAATAAGGAGTGAGAGTGATGCGTAGCCAGAATACCCAAAACCGGAAGCTGTCATACACTCTAGTAGCTATCATAGCAGCTATATATGAAATCTCCGTTTTTGACAAAAATGGAATGATGGATTATCAGTAATCATTTCAAAGTGACACAGACACATTGGATTAACCTATGGATTAACCTTCAGCAGCGTTTTTATCATTTTAATGCCATTGAACACGACTTTTGATCAGAACAACAGCAAAGCTGAGAATATCTCAGTTTTTGCTCCGTAAAGCTACGTTGTGTGATGTCTGGGTTTCTCTTCCCCTGTCGCGAGTTCTGATTGCTCAGTGATGATACTTAGATTTATGGAATCTTTGGAATCTCAGTTTGCTAATCGATATATTGTTTGTGCAGATCCAATTAGTAATAAGGGTATTGTACCGTGAATTCTGTGCTAAGTGCGTTAGCATTTTTTCGGTCAGGGCTCATTTAGACGCTTCTTGTGAGACTTGTGTTTTGTTTCGGTAAAAATGGTTCATATCGTCAGTTAGCTGAGTTTATTCCCGTTAAGTGGGTATGACACATTAATAGGTTTTTAAATGTTAAGAAGCCCTGAGACACAGTTTCGTGAAAAAAAAGCCTGTAGCACCCGCCGGCAGGGGCTATGGGGCTTAACAGGTTAATGCCTTATTCTCCATGACCATATTCTACAAGTAATAAGCCATTAGTTGAGAGTTTGTCCTTAATAACCCTCTAATTAGTGCTTATTTATTGCAAGTAAGGAAGTTGTGGTACATGAGTTTTGGTCAATATGGGCCTAAGAAGGCAGCAGTACCACAAGAATAGTAATTCTCCCATAATAACACTAAACACATATGATATATTCTTATGTAACAAGACATGAAACTATAAGTTTTATTTGTGTCAAAATAACCCAAAATTAGTTATTTATATCTAAGAACATGTTCCCTATTTTAAAGTGAAGTCTTGTTCATAACCAATAAGCTAGTAGTTTGATTCTAAAGTTGCCTCGTCTTCACACTTTGTAAATACATTATAGCACACAACTACTGAAATTAACCTCAACAGTACATGAACAAAGTAGGCACACGTTGAAATATCTGTTTTATTCAAATTGAACCACTTAAGAGAGGTTCAGACACATCATAAAACATTTAAAGTGTATCCAAGGCTCACAACACACCTGTAATTTTTTATAAAAATAGATAGGTAAATATAAAACCTGAACTTGCTCTTTAGGTACTAAACTCACATTTTGAATATGCAACTCTTCCAGTACCCCCTATCTAAACCGATCAAATCAGCACTTTAATATTTCATCAGCAAGGGAAGAAGCTTGCCTTTGGCTTTCATGTCCTCTATTTTGGCCTTTTTAACATTGGTTGCACACTTCTTAGCAAATGAAAGCAGGGTGTCGATTGCAGGATCAAACTTCAGGCTCTCGAAGGTGTCTGGGTCCACAATCTTGAGCCCTGCAATTAGAGCAGTCATCTTAATCGTTCCCAGATCCACATTATTGATCCTGAAGGCTTCAGACATTGTCCGAACATGTCCGAAGGTTTTCAGGACCTTTTTATATCTATGAACAACCTCCACTGGCCCTTTGACTGAAAAAAAACGAACAAACAAATACACATAAAACAAAAACATGAGGGATGAGACTAACAGACTAATCATTCTGTTCAGCAGATGGCGCTAAGAATGGCCTAAACAACTGCCATTTCTCTTTAAAAATAACTATAAAGCATACTCTAGGGATGGGAAAATCTGCTTATCTGATCTTTATCATTATTACTTTTCATGACATTTAGTTGTTCACCTCTCATATGAGCTCGCCCAGGCGCAGCCACATTTGGAGATGCAGGATTCCGTGTGCTACGTTGCTTCTTTTTTGGGATGACAACATCCCTCTCTGAGGAATCACTGATGTCTGCAGGACTTTGGGAAGTGTCATCTTCGTACATGCTGACAACCTCTTCCAAAGTAGGGACTTTTGATTGATCTTAAAGGGGACCTATCATGCAAAATGCACTTTAGTACGTCTTTTATACATGAATATGTGTCCCCGGTGTTCCAGGGAACTCACCAAGTGTCAGAAAACACAACCCTCTCTATTTTCCTCCATACCCAAATCTCTAAAAAAGGGGCTGCAACGGATCTGATAAAAACTGATCCAGATTTGAACACTGTCCTGACGTCAGGACGGTGGCGCTACGGCTATTGGGCCAACTCCACCAATCAGGAGGAGACAGCCACGGCCATTGCCGTTCGAAAGCGCTGGAGACGCTGTAGTACATATGCCAGGCCAGTAGGTGGTGCTGTTCTCACTGAATATGCCCTTACAAACACAGAGCTAAAAAATGTCAAATTGAGCAAAATGAGGCATGGCTAAAATGCATGATCTGTTTGGTATTTTGCAAAAAAAAAAAGTATAAATATGCCTTATATAGGTATGGTCCTACACTATATTATTCAAATATAGCATGATAGGTCCACTTTAAAGTAAACAGATGACACACTGATCAGCTTGTTATGAGGAGATACATAACATCACACCTTCTATAACAATTGAATACAAATGTGCAGTTTCTTCTTGAATCACTCACTTGATTTCTTCTTCAACCCCAAGACTTGCTCACGTAAGAAATTGCGCTCTCCCTCAAGATCTTTTATCATTTTATCTTGCCATTCGATCTTGGCCTCTAGGAATTCCAATCTTGAGATTGATCCTTAAAAAACAAAAGGACAGTTTGAGAGAAGATTACAATACAGATTATGATACAGTATTGAGTAACAGGAAACGTATTGGAGAGAGACAGAGAGAGGGATGGCGAGCAACAAAGGTCATGGGCCAGATCGAACACAGATGATTGCGATTATGGTATGAGCCTTAAATTGATGAACCTCAAGGATTTTAAAACCATAAAGTAGCAGCCGATAAAGTAAAACATGTATACAAGTATCCGCTTCCCCTCTCCCACAAGAGACAACAGATAATATGTGGTTTCCCTAGTCAACATCGGCCATGTCAGTTACAGTGTACTGCTTATCATCACCACTGTCCGTCCTATTAATGATCAGATATTAAATCAATTACAATTATTTATTTGCAGCTCCAAATCACAACTTTTCATATAGAGCAGGTCAAGACCGTACTCTTACATTTTACAGAGACCCAACTTTTACCCACATGAGCATGCACAGTGGTAAGGAAAAACGACACTTTTTATTTATTAGTGATCAAATGTATCATTGAGCGGCCAAACATGAACATGGAGGCTCTGTGTGCTTTCATTCTATAAAGCACAATATAACAGCAACATTTATGTACATGTTGGGTTCTCTTTTAAGCCTACATGTGTCCTTGGAAGGCTACTGAAGTGAATTGTCTCTAACCTATACAGTCTCAGAATTTTGATGAGCTGTTTATTTTTGACCATAACTTAAGGAGGTGCATGGGCTATTGTGAAAATCTGGCAACAATTTCCATCTCAGGATGAACGAGAAATAACACCATATAGTTTCATGTTTAAAAACTAACAACACAAAGAAACAATGCAAGAACATACAAAAAGATCACCTGATCCAAGGCTGGTACTGCAACTTGGGGCCAAGCTTTCTGTATCTATGTAGAGACCATTATATTGTACACATAAATAGAGTGTAATATATTTGAACATGTATATTTAAGAAGTACAATACAAGGCAAGCAGAAGTTTAATTTGTTGGCCATATGTCATTATACTTTTTGAATTTGCTGAGGGCCAATTCAAAATGGTCCGCGGGCCGCCTTTGGCCCCCGGGCTGTAATTTGGACACTCCCGGTGTAAAGTAATTGGTCTGTGTGTTTCACATGTCTGTCCTCGTGTGTTTATTTCTTGTGAAGAAACACGACGTACAGAAGCTGTTCCATCTATATATCTCTGTACTAAAGGCCTCATCTTAGTTGGCAGATAAACACATATCTAAGAGGCTCGGGCTATGCATCGAGGACCAGTGCAGTGCTTGCTCTCTGAAAGTAAAACTAAATTGCAAAACCAAGAATGTACATTTAAGTGAGGTCTGGCAATCTTTTGTAGTGGACTGTCGTATAGGCCTCCACTGCTGTTGCATAAACATTTCATTTATCTAATAAATCTATCACCAATAAACAATTGTTTGTAAAAGTTCTGTTAATATATCCTTAATGGTTGACAAATCAGCCAATAATTGGCCTTTCTAAGGCTACAGGGAAGTCTGTTTATTTTTAAACCTGTCAAATAATTGATGCATTGATACATTCATTTGTAAGGCCTTTTGTTAATCATCTTTGATTGTCCAGTATAAAACCAAGTCCATGCAGGAATTCCAGTTTGGGAAAGCCATTGAGGACTTTGCTTATCAGGTGACTTCAAATATACTTTCCTCCATACATTTAGAATGTCTACATACAAAGGAGAGGAAAGGAAGAATACTTTACAATGGAATGTAGAATACTTTGAAATGGAATGTAGAATGCTTTGAAATGGAATGTAGAATGCTTTGAAATGGAATGTAGAATGTGTCGGTAGACCAAAGCACATTTCGGAATGTTGGGCTCTGAAGTCACACTGAACCTGATGATGTCATACCACAGTGGCTGCAAGAGAGCATGCTCTCAGGTTAAATAGCTACACAACTTATTTGCAGTTTGTGCAGGACGATAACAAGCCAGGTTTTATCCCCGCCACATCGAGTTCACATTATCAGTAAGAAGCAGCTATTTATTCACGACAATAAGATGGACAGAGAAAGATCAGTTTTCAACATGACGTACAACGACTCTCCATGGCACCGAAATAATTGTCCCTCTGAGGACAGTTGTGTTGAGGAGGAGATCGAGGAGGAAATTGAGGAGGAAATTGAGGAGGAAATCCTGGAGGAAATCCTGGAGGAAATCCTGGAGGAAATCCTGGAGGAAATCCTGGAGGAAATCCTGGAGGAAACCATGGAGGAGGTGCAGGAAACCAAGGAGTTTGCAAACAAGGTGGAGGAGGAAGTTGAGGAGGATCAAGAGTTTGTATACTCAGTGGATGAAGACTTCGAAGAGTCATTGGACCTTCATGATGAGGAAGAGTCCGAAATTAAAGAAATGTCTGACCTAGATGAGACAGAGTCAGAAATCGAAGAGATTTTGGAATTTGCAGCAGACACAGAGTCTGAAAACGAAGACATGTTTGACTTAATTGATGAAAAACATGTCATCTCCGGCAACAGAGAAAACGACAGCGACACTTCCTTTGCTGAGGTAAGATTCAGTGGCACACATGTCTACACTCATGAAAACTGTAAAAAAGCTAATACTCAACGCTTTAGTTTCTTTACTAACGTTTTTCAAAAAAATAAATATCAAAATAGTAAATCATCTTTAATGCAATTGATCACAGCATACTTGTTCACACCCATTGATGCAGAGTTAACTCCACTTTTGTTTTCTTAATAAAAAACACTGCACATAGACAACACAATAATAATTGTTTTATGTTTCACAGACAGAGGAAGACATTGCAGAGTTGCCTGAACTAGATGAGACAGAGTCTGAAAACGAAGAGATTTTGGACTTTAATGATGAGAAACCGTCGGAAGTTGAGGAGGATCAAGAGTTTGTATACTCGGTGGATGAAGACTTCGAAGATTCATTGGGCCTTCATGATGAGGAAGAGTCCGAAATTAAAGAAATGTCTGACCTAGATGAGACAGAGTCTGAAAACGAAGACATTTTGGACTTGAATGATCAGAAACAGTCTGAAATCAACGAGATTGCGAACTTTGAAGATAAGACAGAGTCAGAAATCGAAGAGATTCTTGAGTTTGTTGAGGAGGTGGAGGAAGATATTAAGGAGCAGACCTCCATCTCCGGCAACAGAGAAAACTACAGCGACACTTCCTTTGCTGAGGTAAGATTCAGTGGCACACATGTCTACACTTACACTCATGAAAACTGTAAAAAAGCTAATAGCTTTAGTTTCTTTACTAAAGTTTTTCAAAAAAATAAATATCAAAATAGTAAATCATCTTTAATGCAATTGATCACAGCATACTTTTGCACACCCATTGATGCAGAGTTAACTGCACTTCTGTTTTCTTAATAAAAAACACTGCACATAGACAACACAATAATAATTGTTTTATGTTTCACAGACAGAGGACTCTGAAAGATCTGAGAGATCTGACAAATCATCTGCGAGAAATACGAGATCTGACAAATCCTCTGGCCTTCAGGAAGCCCTGGATGAGGAGAGAAAAGCCAGAGCTGCTCTTGAAGAGGCTTTGATGAAGGAGAAAACATCTACAGCTCAGCACAAAGCAGCCCTGAAGGACGAGCAAAAAGAAAAAGACGCTCTTGCAAAGGCTCTGAAGTATGAGCAAGATGAAAGTAATTCCCTTCGTGACAGAATAAAGCTCATAAACGCTGCTCTGAAACAGTCACAAAAAGAGCCGCAGCGTGGCGAAACAAAGCTGAAAAACAGAATCACTATAATGACTTCTGAGCGTGAAGAAGACAAGAAGCTGATTGAGAAGCTCCAGATAGATCAGCATGCATCCTCCAGCCAGCACCAAAGAGACACCTCACTGCTGATGGTGTTGAACACGGCCTCAGTTACAGCAATAAAGGACCGCCTCACTGAGCTGCAGGAGGGAAGTCTGAAAAAAGACAAACACATAGAATCCCTGCACTCAAATGTCCTGAATCTCCAAAGCGACATTGTAGCCAAGGTCAGCATTGTTACCTCACTACAGGAGAGAGTGAGCAAGTGTGCCTCAGACCTCACAGAGGAGCAAACAAAAAGCAGCTCACTGCAGAGGGACTACGAGGCGGCCGTCTCTCAGCAGAAGAAGGAAGCAGAAGAACTGGCCCGTCTGACTCGGGGGAACCAACACCTCGCCTATGAGAACAAGAGACTGCAAAGTGAAGAGAAGAAGCTTCAGGGCGACAGAGGAGCTTGCAGGAGACTGGAGGAGGCCATTAAGAAGGAGGAGGCTCGTTTCTCCAGAGCCTCAAAGAAGATTCAGAGCCAAGAGAAAGAGCTGTCTGAGAAGACCCTGGCTTTGGAGGGACTGCAGAGGGACTACAAGGCTGCTGTCTCTCAGCAGAAGAAGGAAGCAGAAGAACTGGCCCGTCTGACTCGGGGGAACCAACACCTCGCCTGTGAGAACAAAAGACTGCAAAGTGAAGAGAAGAAGCTTCAGGGCGACAGAGGAGCTTGCAGGAGACTGGAGGAGGCCATTAAGAAGGAGGAGGCTCGTTTCTCCAGAGCCTCAAAGAAGATTCAGAGCCAAGAGAAAGAGCTGTCTCAGAAGACCCTGGCTTTGGAGGGACTGCAGAGGGACTACAAGGCTGCTGTCTCTCAGCAGAAGAAGGAAGCAGAAGAACTGGCCCGTCTGACTCGGGGGAACCAACACCTCGCCTGTGAGAACAAAAGACTGCAAAGTGAACTGGCTACTCTCAATAAGCAGCACATTGAAGAGAAGAAGCTTCACGGCGACAGAGGAGCTTCCAGCAGACTGGAAGAGGCCATTAAGAAGGAGGATGCTCGTTTCTCCAGAGCCTCAAAGAAGATCCAGAGCCAAGAGAAAGAGCTGGCTGAGAAGACCCTGGCTTTGGAAAAGAGCCTGACAGCCGAGAAACTCCTAAAGTTGTCTCTAAAAAGTGAGAAGAAGCGATTTGAGAGGATGGTTGGAAAGCAGGCGTCAGCTGGACCTCCTTCAATCCTCACTCAACAACTGAGAGAAGCATCTGCGTACGACATGCAGACATTAAGGAGGGAGAATGCTGACAACAGGGCTAAGTTCCTTGTCCTGGAGAGAGAATATGACAGAGAAAGATGTGATCTCCGCTCTCTCTCTGCGGGCCAAGAAGAGATGCTGTCAAGGAAAAATGATAGCATTTCTGAAAATCAGTTTACCATCACTAATCTACAGTGCATTGTAAATGAGCTCAAAGCAAAGGAGTCAAAGATCAAGATGAGACAGGCCGATCTGGAAGAAGCCCTCAAACAGGAAAAGACAAGAAACTCTGAGCTGCACCTTACTGTTGATCAGATCTCCTCCAGTTTGGAAAAAGAAAGGACCAGGTGTGAGAAGCACCGCGACGAGCTTCAAGAAGCTTTGAAGAAGCAGATCACAACTCTGGAGGAAAACAACAAATTGACCTTGTCTCTGCAGAAGGCTCAGGAAACCTTCCCCAGGCTTCAGGAAAAACAACGTGCAGAGACAAACTACAACTTTGGAAACATCAGTGACACCGAGTTCAGGCTCAGGGAGCAGAAACATTCCCTGGATGAGAGCAATAAGGCGCTGTACCACCTGCAGCAGGAGTACACCAATCTGGGGAGGAGGCACTGCGACATCAACGCTGAGTATCGTGAGCTGCTCAGGACTCACACCACCCTCCAGCTCAAACATGAGAGGCTCAGCAATGCTCAAGGAAACCCACGCCCAGACTTCAGTCCATATCTCTTCCAGTCAAATTGTACAGCACACTAGAAAATGATCCTCCAAGGACATTTTGAGTGTGCGACTGGCACCGACGCAAATATGTTTTTTTGTTATAATTTTCACTATGTATTTTTTTTTAAATGTATTATCTTTTTTTATCTTCACACAACATCTGTTGCACGTCTGTCCGCTATTGCTTTCCCCTAGGTTTTTTTTCAATTTTTTCACGCGGTAACTGTCAGGTTTCTTTGGAAATGTTTCCTTTTCCGATGTGAGGGTCAGAGGACAGAGGGTGTCTTTGTATGCTATTTATATTCTGTACGAACTGTAAAGTCCCCCGAGATAAATGTAAAATTAGTGATATTGGGCCATATAAATAAACGTTGATTGATTAATAACGTATGACAACAATCTCAACACATGGTCCTTTGAGTAGCTTTAGTGGTGATATTACTAATACCACATTATTGTTGTTATTACATTGGTATTGTTGTCTCTTTGTAGGACACTGATTTAAATTATTCTTAAACTATAATTTTTTTTTAATAATAATAACTTTAATTTATATAGCGCCTTTCATCAACCCAAGGTCGCTTAACAAAGAAACATATAACAAGACATAAAACAGGGGGCAGAAATGGAAGTGTTACATTGCAGGGGGGTAAGAGTGAGTTATTGTTCGAAGGCTTTGTTGAACAGATGAGTTTTCAGGGTTGATTTGAAGATGTTCAGAGATGGGGTGTTACGGATTTCAGCAGGGAGGGAGTTCCAGAGGGTGGGGGCAGCGACACTGAAGGCGTGGAGGCGTGAACGGGGAATGGAGAGCAGGCCGGAGTCTGAGGATCGAAGGGCGCGGGACGGGATATATGGGTGGAGGAGATCTGTGAGGTACTGAGGGGAGAGGGCATGGAGGGACTTGTAGGTGACGAGGAGGAGTTTGTAGGTGATGCAGGACTTGACCGGGAGCCAGTGGAGGTTGAAGAGAGTGGGGGTGATGTGCTGCCAGGGCTTGGTGCGTGTGAGAACCCTGGCAGCTGAGTTCTGGATGTAGTGGAGCCTGTCCAGGGTTTTGCTGGGAAACCCGGACAGGAGTCCGTTGCAGTAGTCCAGGCGGGAGTTAATGGAACAGTGAATGAGCTTCTCTGCAACAGAGTCGGAGAGTGATGGCCGGAGTCTGGATATGTTTCTGAGGTGGAAGAAGGCTGATTTTGATACTGACTTGATGTGGTTCAGAAATGAAAGGGTTGAATCCAATACAACGCCAAGGTTGCGAACCGTCGATGTTGAGGAGCAGATCTCCAACCTTCCCGAGCAGTGCCTTGGGGGCCACAACCATGAGCTCAGTTTTATCACTGTTTAGTTTGAGTAGGTTGGTGGTCATCCAGGTTTTAATATCATGGAGGCAGTTGATTTGAGATCGGCCGGTAGTTATTGAGGTCAGTTGGGTCAAGTCCGGGTTTCTTGAGAATGGGGGTGACTGAGGCGGTTTTGAAGGATGTTGGGTAGATGGCAGTTAACAGGGAGGAGTTAATGATGTCCACAATGGTGGGCAGAACAGTGGGTAGGGTTGCCTTAACCAGGACAGTGGGCATTGGGTCCAGAGAGCAGGTGGAGGGCTTGGCCTTAGAGACCAGCTTAGCGACCTGGATAGCATCCACAGGGGAGAAGGCAGAGAGGTGGCAGTATGAGGAGCATGCAGCTGGAGCAGCGGTGCTTGGAGTATGAGCTGTGGGGGGCAGGTGCGTTATTCACTTTGGCCTGGAAGAAATCCAGGAAGTCCGAGCAGAGGACACGAGCACCAGGAGGTTGTGGGGATGCAATGGGGCGGAGTCAATTATTTATGGTTGAAAACAGTTTTCTTTGTTGATATTTTTGGTTGTTGTTTATGGTTGAATAGTATTGAGCTCTATGCTGTGTATGTAATTTATTATATGTAATTTATTATATGTAGTCTTGTCTTTTATCTTTGTAATGTCTTGTCTTTTATCTGTACCCTGAGTCTGTAATAAAGTGTTTATTTGTTGATTGATTGATTGATTATATGTTTTATTTTCACGTTTGTCAATTTTCTTTAATCAATAAATGTTGAGTTATCAACCATTTACATTTCAAGAATTTGTGATGGATGTTTTTCTGAAAGTGGCATAGTGCAACAACATTTGCTGCCCAGTGTTCAAATACAAAAGTAGCCTTCAGTGAGCAAAGCTCTTCATTTCCAAGGAAAATATTTTACTTTTTACTCCACTACATTTACTTAAGCACTCACAGTTACTAGTTACTTTGCACATATAAAAGACCTGATATGCTGATATGGTTTATTGCCGTGCTGCACCAGTAATCTACACAGTATTTGTAGTATCTACATTTGGTCCACGTTGTCAAACTACAATGCTTGAATGCTCTTACATTTATAAAAAAGCGGGACGGCCCTCTACACTGTAATGTATGTATTACTAATACACAGTAGTGTTAGCATACATGCTAGCGTTAGCCATACTAGCCTGTATACATGCTTATTGCACAGCTAGCATTAGCTATATTTACCTTGTTTACACTTAGCGGTCCTATGTGTTAATCTGTGTATGTTACACTTGCATGTATGAGATCATTAAGTGCCTTATAATTTCTTTTTGTATAGTTTCACTCCGTTTGAATGTCAGTAGACTGCAAATAAGTCAATAAAGGAGCATGGCTGCTCATTCTGGCTCTCAAAAGAGTGGCTGGCTGTTTAATCTATGTTCACACTGAGACAGGACAACACAGAGAGAGAACAGTACACCTATTGTGTAATACATACAAGCAGGTCACACAGTATGACACAAATACATAAACTCTGTTAACAATCTGTTTTTATTAAAAAGTACAGGTATATGTGTTCTCAGCCTTGGAGAAACTTGACATGTTTTGGTACATGTATGTGTCTGAACCTCTCTTTAGTGGTTCATTAATAAAACAGATATTTCAACGTGTGCCTACTTTGTTCATGTGCTGTTGAGGTTCATTTCAGTAGTTGTGTGCTATAATGTATTTACAAAGTGTGAAGAGGAGGCAACTTTAGAATAGGGAACCTGTTCAGGTCAATTAGAGTCAAACTACTAGCGTATTGGTTATGAACAAGACTTCACTTTAAAATAGGGAACATATTCTTAGATAGAAATAACACATTTTGAGCTAGACACAATTAACACTTTTAGTTTCAAGCCTTGTTACATAAGAATAGATCATATTTGTTAAGTGTTATTATGGGAGAATTACTATTCTTGTGGTCCTACTGCCTTATTAGGCCCATATTGAGCAGAGCATATTGAGACCAAAACTCATGTACAACCACTTCCTTACTTACAACAAATAAGCACTAATTAGAGGGTTATTGAGGAAAAACTCTCAACTAATGGCTTATTACTTGTAGAATATGGTCATGTAGAATAAAGCATTAATAAGTGTTTTATAATGACTAATAAAGAGCCAATATACTGATAATATGCATGTTAATTAACAACTAGTTGATGGTTAATTTGTGTACCTTAATATAAATTGTTACGGATATTAGTTACAATTTTTTTTAATATGTTAGGGATAATGCACATAGCCTCTTGACCCTCCTTAGCAACGGTCTGTTAGCGAGTATTAACAACCTTTGAAATGTCATTACATTACCTTAAATTACATATCAGTGCAAATCAACCAATCAGAATCGTTTATTCAACTATGCCGTGTACTAAATAGACTTAAATACGTGTATGTCTATATGTGAGTGGTGAAGTTCAATACAGTTGTAGGATCTTTTTACAGTGTAAAATAATAATAAGGATCTATAAATAGAGGGCAT